TCGAAGTGTGACTCCGGCGCGTCGAAGCCACCGCTGATAGCACTGGCAGCCGGGCTTGAGCTCACCCCGGAGGTGAACATCGCGCGGTCCCGGTAATACTCCGTGTTGTAGTGCCGCGGCCGGTCGAAGGAGCCGCTGCGCTCGTGGTGTCCATACGGACTGTGATCGTACGCTCGCTCCCGACTGTCCGAGCCGCTGCTGTGAGAGAGACAGAAAGAGACACAACAGAAAAGGGAACACACACACTTAGAATCGGACCGGATCCATGGCAAACGCCTAACACAGGAACTCAAGTACAACTCGTCATCCAAAACCTAGCGGGCCAGGTTGCGGAGCCACAATTTAACGAGCGAAATCTCAAGCACGCGTCTAGTAGACTGAACTATGCTGAGGCTCTAGCGCTGAGAACGCACTTCTAAATGAATCATGCAGTGTTTCTATCCGACTGTGGCGTTATTACAGTCGACTAGCCGCTGAGCGTTTACTCTCATCAAATGAACCATGCTGGCTATCTGGCTCTGAACACTGGAGGGGAAATCAGACAGAAGTGAAGATCAAGAGCTGAAACACTTGGGAGCAGACGGAGGGACACAGAGGGGTTAATAATAGCACACGGCTTCAGGGTTAGTGAAGAACAGGGGTTAAGAGACAGGGTGCATGTCTAGGTTAGAGAGAGAAAGCACAGAGAGGCGTAAGGCAGGGCAATACCAACCTTTTCAGAGCAGTAACTGACCCTAAATATTCCCAATACAATATAGGAGGAATTTTGTGTGAGCCAAAAACAGCAATGGCGTAAAGCGGTGCTTGGGGGGAAAAAAACGGACGATAAAGTCCCACTATGCAAAAAGGTTCTTCGTCCAAAGAGGGTCGCGTCAGCGTCAGGCCATCCATCTCAAGGTTCACTAAAGGAGACTTCAGGAAAATGTAGGAAAAAGAGTCTAGAAAAAGGAACGCATTACAAAAAAAAAAATCTTCTAAAAACAAAAACATAGCTTTACACTCGTGAAATAATCCTAACACCAAAAAACACAAAAACACATCTCTGTGGGACAAAAACTTTAATTCCAGCTCATTATGTTCCCCAGAACGGCAGCGGTGGGACTCTTCTACCGCGTTCGTACATCCACTGGAGATCAGGTAATCCAGCAAAGCCTCGATCTACACCTATACATCCAACATGAGGTTAGATCCGTGGGAATCTTCCCGTGACGACATCTTCTGGTCTTCGAGGCTTCGTAAAGGTATCCAAGCGCGGGCGTCACGTGGTCTCTAAGAATGACGTGCGGTGACAAGGAGGATGGAGATGATGAACCCTGACACACTTACTCCTTGCTCCAGCGGCGCGTGACTCCGCTCCTAAATCCACGGCAGTGATACACATCCACGGCATGACAGACAGTTAGCACAATGACCAAATGGGTGATGGGATAGTCGTGCAAGGCAAATGAGAAGGGACAAAAAGCTTTGCGATAACGCGTAACTACGTTCCGGTTAAAAACCTTGCGTTTAATCCGTCATCGGCACATACTTCCAAAGAGCCTCATCCAAGGCGGCGGGGTAATATCCGAGATTCGTCGAACGCCTAATATCCAAACTCACCCGTTACGTCTCCGCCAGCCATCGTAATATCCAAACCGACCGGGATATTCTCCACGTGGGTAATATCCAACTCAGACGAGGGCTATGGCTCACACAGTAATCCCACACCAATCTAATCCACTCATTCTTACACGATAGACAAGGATTAATAATTCCGTGTGCAGGAAGTCAGGCCTCAGAACGGAGAGGGATCCCTAGAATCTGGTCTATTGTGTTTAACCCAACCTGAACCCCTGTATCTGACACCACAGTCCCCCTGTAGTGCAGAGGGAGCCTGTGTCCACTTACCCGTCTAGTCTGCGTTCATAGCGCCCCTCTCTGGTGTGGAGAGACACCGGGGGCCCGTACACCGGCCCCACGGCGCTCCTCGAGAACCCTGCAACCTCCCTTCCGTGACTGCTAGAGGGGGTGGGGTCCTCCAGACCGCGTACGGCACTGGGAACTGAACCCGGCTCATTGTAATCTGTGCGAAGGTCCCTGTCCCCCATTTTGTTGACGGCATTGTGCGCCTTCTGGGCGCTTTTGATGTCTACGAAATCCACGAAGGCCGCCACGCCGCCCTCGGAGCCGCGCTTGCGCAGGACCTTGACGCTCTCCACCCGGCCATACCTGTGAAGAAGAAACGAAGCGCTGTAAATGTCACGCACATCCAGGAATCATGTGAGCGACAGTCACAAAAACACATTATAGGTCAACATAAGAGGAAGCGTGATGTTTTAAAAGTCACTTTCTGAACTCTTAGCAACAGATACCTTCTTATGTTTGGATGACACCTAATTACTTGTACATTATTATGCTCTTTAGCCAACCTGATTTGACTATACCCGCGCTCCGCAGCCCATTCACACTACAGTCTCAAAGCGATTTCAAACCAGTTTAGCGGTTTTTCTGCAGTACAGCGATTCAGTTCACTAAACTGAAACAGGACATCAGGAGTTCGTTTTACTTAAGAAATATCGCAGAATGAAGTTACACGTAACTGCAGATCCTCGATCAAGTTTCGGTTTCTTCGGATAGAATCGGTTCCTACCGTTAAACCGGCTCTTCCCGTCCGGACTCGGCGTTAGCAGCGAGCTAACCGCACACGGACACAAACGCTCGCTGTTCTCCTCACGAAAGCGTGTTTATGTGACTTCTCCGGAGAAGTGAACCGAACACGGGCGTTTTCTGTGAATATTAGCACAGATTCCACGCGTTAACCTGCAAACCGTGAACTAGTCAACTGCTTAACTTGACCGTGTTAGCGAGCCGGCGGCTCAACGGAGGTGGTTTCGGCTTGTTTCTGAATTCTAGATCGTGTTTGCGGCTCATCCTGGTGTTCTGAACGGCTTTCGTCGTTGATTTTCCGCTGAGGCGGTTTGTGTCCGCGCGAGGCCGCGTCACTGCGCGCGCAGCTGCACTTCTTGTGTAACTCACCGTTTAAAATGCTCCACAATCTTCTCCTCGCGAACATGTTCGGGTAAATTTCCCACCCAGAGGTGTCTGGTTTCCCGAACCATCCTGCGTCGTCCGCGTCCCGTTCATGCACATAAGCGGCTTCGCGTCGTTTAATCTCCGACCGTGAGGTGAAGCGCGTGACAGGACAACAATCTCGCGGCCCTGCGCGTGCACGAGCGGAACCCTCGGTGGCGAGCACGCAACCCTGCGCGCCACCGTCACTCTGCGTCATCCACGCAAACGTCATGAATGTTGCCAAAACATTGGACGTGTATATTAAAGGGGTCATATGATGCGATTTCATTTTTTCCTTTCTCTTTGGAGTGTTACAAGCTCTTGGTGCATAAAGAAGATCTGTAAAGTTGCAAAGACTAAAGTCTCAAATCCAAAGAGATATTCTTTATAAAAGTTAAGAGTTAGCCACACCTACCTAAAACGGCTCGTTCGAACACGCCCCCACATATCTACCTCACTATGTGGGAAGATTTACATAACGCCGCCCAAATGTTCACGCAAAGAAAGAAGGCATAACTTTTATTCTCGCTGTAGTATTGTAGTTGTTGCCGCCGCTGCCATGTCGTGAAGGCGCTGTGTGTTTCCTTGTGAAAGCGAAACTACTTCGTTTAGTCTTCCAAAAGAGGACGATATCCGCTTCGTCATACCTAGAGCTGATCTGTGCTGGTCGCTGAGGAAATACATCAACTTAGTGCGGTGGATCGCCGGATCGGCTTTCACCATGGACAAAGCGGAGTCCAGCCCG